TTGCTTTGTCGATTCCGGCATTTCCCGATCCGTAGCAGCGCGTTTATAACAAGTGGTATCAGAGCCGCGGCTGGAAATCAGGCTAGGGTTTTCGATTCAGAAGAATGACGTTGGTGAACATGAAGATCGAAAAGTTCACGGGGAAGAACAGCTTCGCTATATGGCAGATCAAGATGCAGGCTTTATTGAAACAGCAAGGGCTGTGGGGGCCGCTGTCTGCGAAACAGAAGAAGGCAGCGGTCGATGACGATGAGTGGAATACCCTGGAGGAGAAGGCCCACTCGACCATCATGCTATCGTTGTCTGATGACGTCATCATTGAAGTCGCTGCTGAGAAGACTGCCGCGGGCTTGTGGTTGAAACTAGAGAGTCTGTATATGACTAAGTCTCTAACCAACAAGCTGCATCTCAAGCAACGGTTGTTCAGCTTGAGGATGCAAGAAGGTACGCCTTTGAGGGAACATCTCGAACAGCTTAACTCTATTTTGCTGGATCTGCGTAATATAGATGTTCAAGTTGATGACGAGGATGCTGCCCTAATCCTGCTGGTTTCTTTGCCGAGTTCATATGAGAATTTCGTTGATTCTTTTATTGCCGGTAAAGAAAGCGTGTCGTTGGAGGATGTCAGGTCTGCTCTTCATACGAGAGAGATCAGACATAAGGCGTCCGGATCTGGTACAGGTGGTGAGGCATCGGATTTGGCTGTTACAGGTGGAAAGGGAAAGAAGAAATCTGGTAAAGGGAATTCGAGCAAGAATTCCAAGGGTCCCGGTCCACAGCCAGGTGATGCTTGTCACAACTGTAAGGAAGTGGGGCATTGAAAGTACAACTGTCCCAAGAGAAGAGGGCAACAGAAGAAACAAGGTTCAGTTGCCGTGGCAGAAGTGGACAACAGTTCTGAAGACGATCTCGCCTTGGCTGTAGATGAGAAGACACATCGTGGTGATGTGTGGTTTTTGGATACTGCAGCCTCATACCATATGTCTCCGAACAGGGATTGCTTCACAACCTACGAGCAGATAGATGGTGGTAACGTGGTCATCGGCTAATGGAGCTGTCTGCAAGGTTGTTGGAATCGGGTCCATAAGGTTCGGACACATGATGGTTCGTTCTGTACCGTGAATGATGTCAGGCATGTTCCACGAATGACGAAGAACCTGATCTCCTTGAGTCTACTCGACAGCAAGGGCTTCAGCTTCAAAGGAAAAGGTGGAGTTGTGTATGTCTGCAAGGGTTCGAGGAAGGTACTGAAGGGCGTGAAGCGTGGGACCTTGTATGCATTACAAGGGTCTGTGTTGTCTGGTTCTGCTGCAGTTGCATCGTCTCAGGTTCAACAGGAGGATATGACCCATCTCTGGCACATGAGACTGGGGCATTATGAGTGAACGAGGGATGCAAGTTCTATCAAAGAGGGATCTTCTTGCGGGCACAAGGTTCAGAATTTGGAATTCTGTGAGCATTGTGTGTTTGGGAAGCTACATCGCAGGCAAGTTTCCCAAGAAGGGTATCCACCGGACAAAGGGGATACTAGATTACATCCACTCCGACTGTTGGGGTCCTTCACGAGTTGAATCCATTGGAGGCAGCAGGTATTTTCTGTCTATTATTGATGATTATTCGAGATTTACTTGGATTTTCATGATGAAGCAGAAAAGTGAGGCTTTCACGAAGTTCAAGCAGTGGAAGACATTGGTGGAGAATCAGACCGGGAAGAAGATCAAGAAGCTGCGAACGGACAATGGTCTGGAGTTCTGCAGTTCTGAGTTCAACGAATTCTGCAAGGATGAAGGGATTGCCCGTCATCGGACTGTTAGAGATACACCTCAGCAGAATGGCGTTGCAGAAAGAATGAACCAGACATTGTTGGAGAGAGCACGATGCATGCTCTCTAATGCTGGACTAGAGAGAAGATTCTGGGCAGAAGCAGTAACATGGCGTGCTTCCTGATCAACCGTGGACCTCACACAGGTATCGAGTGTAAGACTCCTTATGAGGTGTGGTATGGTAAGCCTGCTGATTACTCTTCACTGAAAGTTTTTGGGTGTCCTGTTTATTATCATGTGGATGAGGGTAAGCTGAACCCAAGGGCAAAGAAGGGTGTATTTGTGGGTTACGGAGATGGAGTTAAGGGATTTCGAGTCTGGTCACCTTCTGAGCATCGCGTTATACTTAGTAGAAATGTGATATTTGATGAGAAGTCTATGTTTAACCCCATGTTGAAGGTTACTGTTGTTGAAGGTAGCAGGAATGTTGATAACAGGTGGAGCTGCAAACTCTCAATGAGAGTGAGTTTGAGCACCAAGGTGGAGAAGATCAACATGATGAGGATGTCTCTGCAGAGCCAGAAATTTCAGAGTCCAGAGCACGAGCTCAACAGTCTATTGCTTCCGGTAGACCGAAGAGAGCGACTGCAGGAGTACCTCCACAGAGGTATGGCTTCGAGGACATGGTGGCATATTCATTTCAGGTTGCTGAAGAAGTGGATGCAGGAGAGCCACAGTCCTATAGAGAAGCAGTTTCGGGTGGTGAAGCTGATCAGTGGCTTGCCGCAATGGGAGATGAGATGGAATCCCATGACAGGAATCAGACTTGGGAGCTAGTCAAACGACCACAGGGAAGGAAGATTGTGACAAACAAGTGGATCTACAAGAAGAAGGAAGGAATCACTTCTAAAGAGGGCATGAAATTTAAAGCTCGGGTGGTTGCACGAGGCTTCTCGCAGAGGGAAGGAGTTGACTACAACGAGATTTTCTCACCAGTGGTCAGACATACTTCGATCAGAGTGCTACTAGCAATAGTGGCACATTATGACTTGGAGCTCGAGCAGCTAGACGTGAAGACAGCTTTCCTACATGGAGAGTTGGAGGAAGAAATTTACATGACTCAGCCAGAAGGATTCGAGGTTCCGGGAAAAGAAGACTATGTTTGTAAGCTGAAGAAGTCCTTGTATGGACTTAAGCAATCTCCGAGGCAGTGGTACAAGAGATTTGACAGTTACATGCTTGAGCTGGGCTACAGCAGAAGTCCATATGATTGTTGTGTATATCACAACAAGGCAGAGGATGGTTCGATGATATATCTAGTTCTGTATGTAGATGATATGCTCATAGCTGCGAGGTCAAAGTCTGATATCCAGAAGTTAAAGGGGCTTCTCAGTGCTGAGTTTGAGATGAAGGATTTGGGAGCTGCTCAGAAGATCTTGGGGTATGGAGATTTACAGGGACAGGTCGAAGAAGAAGCTTTCTTGTCACAGAAGAGCTACATCCAGAAGATACTGTCGAGGTTTGGCATGTCTTCAGCAAAGCCCTTAAATACTCCTAGTGCTTCAAATGTTCATCTATCCTCGGCTTATGCACCGCAGTCAGAGGCTGAGAAGGAGTACATGTCGAGAGTCCCATATGCTAGTGCAGTAGGTAGCTTGATGTACGCTATGGTATGCACTAGACCTGATCTTGCACATGCTGTTAGTGTTGTCAGCAGGTTTATGATACAACCTGGGAAGGAGCATTGGCAGGCTGTGAAGAGGATCTTCCGGTACTTAAGGGTACACCTGATGTGGGGATTAGCTTCGGAAGTGATACAGAGTGCTTGGTGTCTGGGTATTCTGACTCGGACTATGCTGGAGATGTTGACACGAGGAGATCGATGACCGGTTATGTATTCACTCTTGGGAGTTCTGTAGTGAGCTGGAAGGCAACTTTGCAGTCGGCGGTGACATTGTCTACTACTGAGGCAGAGTATATGGCATTGACAGAAGCTGCCAAGGAGGGAATATGGTTGAAGGGACTGGTTGGTGATCTTGGTCTACATCATGATCAGGCAGTGGTGTATTGCGACAGTTTGAGTGCAATATGCTTGGCCAAGGATCAAGTCCACCATGAGAGGACTAAGCACATCGATGTGAGGTATCATTTCTTGAGGACAGAGAAGAGGATTAAGGTGAAGAAGGTTGGCACCGCGGATAATCCTGCTGATATGTTCACGAAGCCGGTCCCTCATGGCAAGTTCCAACACTGCTTGGACTTGCTGAATGTCTTGAGTGGGTGACTCCGCCCTACGGGCCATTGATGGCGGGAGAGAGAGAGAAGGAGCAGAGTACATCAGAGATTTCAGAGGAAGAGGATTCAAGTCAAGGTGGAGATTTGTTGATATGACTTGAATCGGACTATCAGCCGCTACGACTGGTAATCGGGGGGTCTCACGGTGTATGGGCTCAATGTTATTTGGGTTCGGGTTCTGGGCCTGGTCTGTAACCGTTTCCTTTGCTAGATTGGATTAGGTTTAGACCCACATGGAGAAGTACTATAAATACTTCTCATACTCCTCTGTAATCTGTAATCTCCTCGATATAGTGAAACTGGCTCTCTCTCGCCCGTGGACTAGCTAACACACATCGTGTTAGTGAACCACGTAAATCGTGTGTCTGTGTTCTTTCGATTCTCGCTCTCGTATTCTTGCTTTATCGATTCCGGCAATTTCCCGATCCGTAGCAGCGCGTTTATAACAGGTAGCAAGGCTGCTTAAGCTAATTTAATCACATTTACAAGTAACCTCACCAATGTGCTATTGTGCTCTATAGATCAAGACCCCAACCACAAACCCATTGAAAAAAATATTAATTATAATAATTAATTTAAGCATCGAAAGACCCCCCTCATCCACATTAATAATTGCACTTTCGTAACTTAATTATCTCTCAATCATCCATCAATAAACAAAAGGATGTATAGTTTCTTTAGTTTAATCTAAAATTTCGTACTTAATCAGATATCTCCCTTTCTTAAATAAAGGACACATCAGTAATTTCCCCCACCCATAAACTCGAATTTGTTCTTTGCATGTACGGCTAGTCCTCCATTATAAATACATCTGCCCCAAACTCCCTTCTTTCATCTCCATCGCTTCTTCCCCCACACCAAAAACAGAAACAGAAGAAAGAATAACAAGGAGAGGAAATTGTTGTTGTTGAAACTTGAAGAAGAAGAAAGAAGAAGATAAGAATGGGGAACACATTAAGGTGCTGTTTGGCGTGCGTGATTCCCTGCGGCGCCCTGGACTTGATCCGGATCGTCCATCTAAACGGGTACGTGGAGGAAATAACCCGACCCGTAACCGCCGGCGAGATCCTCCAGGCCAACCCCAACCACGTCCTCAGCAAGCCTTCCTCCCAGGGAGTCGTCCGCCGGATCCTCATCCTCTCCCCGGACTCCGAGCTCAAGCGCGGCGGCATTTACTTCTTGATCCCCGAAACCTCCATGCCGGACAAGAAGCGCATCCGCCGCGCTAAAAGTGCGAAAAAGTACCGTCATAAGACCACCACCACCACCACCGACGGCGGCGATGATAATGACAAGAACAATCAAGAAGGCCATCACGTCTCCGTCGAGGACCACTGCGAGCGGTACCTAACGGAGCCAGTGATAACGGAAGAGAAGAAGGAGAAGAAGCAGAAGCAGCAAGATTCGTCGTCGTCACGGCGTCACAGACGGAGTGGGACCGGGAGATCCGGAGTATGGCGGCCTTATCTAGACAGCATCACGGAAGACTGACGGCGGAGGGGCCCACTTGCTCTCTTCTTTCTTCTTTTTTTTTTTTTCTCCACGGTGTCTCTCCGGTACCGGGATCTGAGCCGGCGATGGACGTAGGTGGCGGGGATTTGTTTTTTTTTCTTACCTCTCTCATTTTTTTACTGTTACTGTTACGGTGGTGGGGGAGGTTTTGAGATTGGCATTTGTGGATAGCTTCTTCTTTTTGTCTTGGTTTGGTTTTCTTGTTTCGATCTGCGAATAGTAAAAAGGCAGATCCGAGGATTGATTCTTCTTTTCATTTACAGCTCTGTTTGGTTAACCGCTCGACAAAATCAATCAATCATGCAAGGCAAGGCAAAGAGGAAATGAGTTCAACTGTAAATAAAATTCGTTGGATTATAAGTTGTTACTTGCCAAAGTCTTACCAATTGTACATGTTGCATTCTTTGAATTTCTTACACATATGTACACCATAATTTGAAAGTTAAGTGGGCGACTCTCTCTCTTTTTCGAATGTGACTAACTCTGCAATTGACTTAAACAGTTAATTGAATCGAAATGATTGAGAGGATGTACTTACATAATTCAAGAATGTTTCAAAATGGGACGTTAGACTATGTGCTTAGACAGATACTTGAAAATTTCCGAGTAAATTAACTATCTTAGCTTAAAGGGTTTTTAACTTCAATAACTAAATATTGAGGCAACAATCTAGCAATATTTTTTGAACCACGCGACATAAGAAAAAAAATATGACTAGTTTTTTTTTTCTTTTTTTTTTTACAGAATAGAAAGAATGATGACTAGTTATTAACTTGAAGAGAAATAGGTTAATTGTATAGGGTAATCAATTGTTGTGTTCAGTCATACCCGTTGTGGTTTAGATCGTATCGTATTCTCGTTTTTGTAATTATGCAATGTAATGATAGTTTTGTAAACAATATGTTTTTGTTAGAATTGCAAACCACTTCAATGATTAACACTTAGATGTTAGGTAATCATTAATAACTCCACCATTTGTTTAACTACTTAGCTTGTCTAGCTAGCTAGCTTAGCTTATAATTGTGATCATGTGAATTTGTTTATGTAGAGGGGGAGAGAGAGAATGGGAGACTTGTGCCGCTTATAGTGGTGATCACCAGCCTGTGATTACTTGAACTTGGTACCTAATTAAGAACTTGTTATTATATATATAAATGTAATATGACTCCTAACTAAGATTTTAATATAGGGTTTATACCATCGGCCTGCAACTAAGTGCTGGATCAGCGGGAACAGAGTCTTCTTCTCTTAGGCATTAACTGTCAATTTAATGTTGAGTCAATATATCTAACAGAAAAGCTAGATTGGAATACTATAAGCCTATACATGTAAGTACATCTGTAAATGCATCCAACAAATATTTGACAATATTAGTTTAAAAATAAGTAAATATAAGTTATTAATCAATTTTGAAATACAAAATATTAACCAACCGTTAACTTTCAATTACCAGTTTTGTTAATGATGACGACTTTGAAACATCAAACGTAGATGTTAACCAACCGTTAACTTTCAATTACCAGTTTTGTTGATGATGACGACTTTGAAACATCAAACGTAGATGTTGAGATGGAAGAGACAGATGGCGATCAAATTTTCAAAATTTTAGCATTTAATTTTTTTGATGAAGGTGAAAAAATTGAATCGAAATAAAAAGAGTCTGATACAAATGTGCACCAGGAGTGCAACCAAAGAGAAAGGAACACAAAAGGAAAGAAAGAAAGGAAGAAAAGTAGTACAACCTAGCAGAAACAAAGAATCGGGAGCGGTTACTATGACAACACTCCTTGTGTTGTTATAGTAACAACACTAGTCTCCAACCAATAGGAAGCTAGGGTTGTGATGACTTTTTATTAGATGAGTTGACCTAGTGTAAAATCAAAGCAGGGGTATAATTGTCATTATGAAAAATATGTTTAAATAATAATAAAAAAAATAAAAAAAAAAAAATTTATTTTTCGGCCCAAAATTTTGGTCGCCGGAATTCAGCCATCGGTCGCCGGAATCTGGTCGCCGGTCATCGGAATATGCTTTTTCGTCGCCGGAATATGCCACCGTCGCCGGAATATGCTCACCGTGGTCGGAATATGCTTACCGGCGACGGAATCTAGTCATCGGGGCCGGAATATGCCTATCGGTGCCGGAATCTACTCACTGACGGTCATCGGAGTTTGGTCAACGGTTTTCGTTGACCGGTCAATGGTCTTCGTTGACCGGTCAACGGCCAACGACCACCGGATGTTATGGTCTGCATTGTGAGATTTATGGTTTGGTTTTTCATATTTTTGTATGCATTTTGTGGTTTGCTTTATCGTGTTTGTGGTTTGCATTAAGAAGTTTCTGGTTTGCTTTATCATGTTTATGGTTTGCATTGAGAAGTTTCTGGTTTGTTTTCAAAAACTTTTTGGTTTACATTGAGGGGTTTCTGGTTTGTTTTAATATATTTGTGGTTTGCATTGGGACGTTTATGGTTTGCTTTTTGTGGTTTGATTTACTGTGCTTATGGTTTGCATTAGGAGGTTTCTGGTGTGCTTTCGCAAATGTTGTGGTTTGCTTTGTGAGGTTTGTGGTATGTTTTAGTGGATTTGTGGTATGCATTATGGTGTTTCTGGTGTGCTTTCGCAAATGTTGTGGTTTGCTTTGTGAGGTTTGTGGTTTGTTTTAGGAGATTTGTGGTATGTATTAGGAGGTTTCTGGTTTGCTTTATTGTGTTTCTGGTTTGCATTAAGAAGTTTATGGTTGACTTTCAAAAATTTTATGGTTTGATTTGTGGGATTTCTGGTTTGTTTTAATGGATTTGTGATTTGCCATAGCAAGTTTTTGGTTTGTTTTTTTTTTATTTGCTTTACAGAGTTTTTGGTTTGCATTAATTTTTTTTATCCCACCATAATATTGAACTGAATTCCAAAGTTTCCTTTCCCTATACTTCAAAACGACCCTTCTTCATTGATCCCACCAGGAAGCAACAACACATTACATTGAAATGGCAAAGAATATTTGTCAAAAAAAAAAAAAAGGCAAAGAAGCATGGTTTAACTCAAACAAAACATTGATCCTTTTATCACCACGGAGAGGCCTTTATTGCCAGAAATTGTAAATATAAAACGGGCCAAAGAACTAATTTTATAATGTTCAATGTACTAACTTAAATTATATCGTGGAAAGGATTATGGGTGATGATCGGGCAATTATGTGGTGCCGTGACGGCACCGGTGCCGGCATTAATCCTGGCCGGTTCAAACAAAATGGGTTTGGTTTGAAATATTTAAACAATATTAGTTGGGTCTGATTTAAACCATTCCTCTTTTTCCCTTTATTTCTTTTCTTCTCCATCGTCTTTGAAGGAAGCTGACTCCTCCGTCGATTCAAGTTACTGGCCAACTGACTACCATCATCATCGTCGTTATATCATCATCACGCTAATATCGAATCCCTGCTCAGTCGGAATCACCACCGTCATCATCGTTCTTGCCACCGCCCGATCATAACTAGCATCGTCCCTGCTGCCGCCACCACACGCTCGGCCATCGCGCACTCCCGATTTGCTTGTCAGTCGGAATCACGACCGGCCGCTACCAACGCTCTTGCTTCCGTCCAACATCAAAAGTATCGTCTATGTCGCCGATGTCATGCACAAAGTCATTGGGCTCTCAGATCCGAGCTATGACGGAGGAACGACGGGATTGAAACGCGGTGAGAGTTTTGATTTTACAGGGAAGCCGACAGGGCCACAGGAGAGAAGAAGAATCGAGATCCAGCGGGGGAGTGTGAAGGACACGAGAGATGGTGGGTGGGCTAATATTTTAATTTTATTAAATTATAGGTAAATTTACCCTTATACCCTTAAAGTGTTGTTATACTATCTGGCCCCCAAAGAATCAAAGGAGCTTGACCCACCAGAAGGCCCCTCCTCAAAATTTTAGCATTTAATTAGGAAAACAATTCAGAGTCAATAGTCAAAATTGCTAAAATTTTGTAACATTTTAAAGGTTAGGCTAATAATTTCTATTTTTAGAGGTTCCACTAATAATTTGAAAATTTGAAAAGTTTTGACTAATAAATTATATTTACTATAAAAAAATATTCTACGATAACACAATCATTATAAAGTGACCTCAATCACATGTTCTTTCTTGTTTCTATTTTACCATACAAAATTTGAACTTCATTGAGTACTTTTATCAGTGAAAGCCATAATAACTCCCATTTTGAAAAATATGTGATAGAAATGATACTTTCAGTCTAATACCATTAATCTAGAACGTGGAGGTTCCAGGTTCGAATCCATTATAAAAAAATAATATTTTTTGTCTAATACCATTTGTCAGCTAATAAAAGCTACGAACAAATTACCTTTATACTTTTGTCACGAGCCCAATTCATGTTCTTTTTTTTTTTTTGACAAAAGATAATCATATATTGATATTCAAGAAAAGATCATTACACCACCTGCCTTAACCAGCCTACAAAATCAAAAGAACGACTCACTATCGGGTACAAAGAAAGGGTATTTCTAGCCACCAAATGGGCTACCCTATTACTACGCCGACCAACGAACCGAACACTAAATCCTTCATTCTCAACCATGTAGAGCAACACCTCACGGAAAATAGCACCCGCCATACTATCGCCCCCCTGTGCCAAAAGAAGCCTATCCACCACCACCTTCGCATCCCCCTCAAAGCGAACCAAGAGACAGCCTCACTGTAGGATAGCTTCCCGGAGGGCCAACACCTCTACCAGCAATGGATCATCAACCTCTGGAAAGCACACCCCCCTCGCCCCGACAACCATCCCATCCGGGCCCAGCAACACCATCCCTCCGGCCGAATGAGACCCTAGTCGCACCGCTCCATCCCACCGACAAATGAGGGTATCCTGGCGACAAGGGGGCCCATCATAGGTTAACTGAACAGGGGCATACCCCACAACCTCCTGGGGAAGCGACTCCCACTCCCGCAATTGCTGATGATATTGCC